ATAACATAAGTTAGCATGGAAAGTCTGATCTTTCAGAGCTTTTCCCGAGCTACCCGGAATCTGTCAGATGATAGCCGTCGCATAGCTTGTGTCAGTGTTGGACCTATTGCAACAGTCACCACCTTCACCTACAAAGAAAGCATGGCATCACCCCACAGTGCCCCCATGTCCTGTTCTTGATAGGCTTGTGGGCATTGTCAATCCTGAAGTCTTCATGGCCCAGGAAAGAGGAGATGGGCAGGAAGGGTAAAAAAGCAGAAGCACACCCATCCTCCCCTGCTTCGCACTGGGGACATCGGGCCACCACAGTGAGTCTCAACGGAGTCCTGGCAGCACTCTCAGGCCCAAGTCAAACAGGAGGTGCTGCTGCTGCTGCGTCCATCAACTCCTTTGGTTCCCAACCACCCCAGGGCTTAGCACCTGAAGTTGAGGTTCCTGGGCCTCACACCTGATGGCAGAAGCAGGTGGGTTCCTGGACACACATGAAAGGGTGGAGTTGTACATGGTCAGTGCTGTGACTGCTGCGAGTGAGCGCACTGTACCATCAGATAAGTGTCAACAAGTCTTCCAGGGCCTCACCTGGGTCCTGGGGTGAGGGGCCCACAGAAGCACAGCAGGTCAGGGCAAGCCTCTGTACCGTGCCTGCCCCTGTACCAAAAGAAGGTAGATGTCCTGGGCTTAAAGCCACGCAAACCAGAGAAGACTCACCCTATACTTTGACAAGGGTCTGGTGGGTCAAGAGAAGGACTTCTTGGGGACATGAGGGTGAACTGGGGAGCAGGTAAACAAGTAACTATACCGTAGGCCTTTGTCCTGGGCATGCTGGCAGGAGAATGAGGTACAGTTTTTGTTGTTTTTTTTTTTAAGATTTATTTGTGCGTACAGAACTGGGGTACAGGCCAGAGGCTCAGGGGTAACGAGAGGTTCACCAGAGACAGAGTGGGGAGCAGAACAGGCAGATATACAAAGTACACTGCTGAGGGGAGCAGCGGGCGGGTCAGGAGAGGTCTGCCGTGCCATGTGGTCACCTCCGGGGCCGGTGGGAATCGAACTCATGCGGAAGTGGCTTAAGCTTCCTAGTGCTGTGCTTTAACCCGCTGCGCCACCAGGGAGGGCCATGAGGTACAGTTTAAGGTCTATTTTTAGCCACGTACCTGCTGTCCTCCATACTCATGAAGGGCCACTGAGAGGCACATATGACTTACATCCTTGAAAATGCAGCAAGTTCCCCTCAGACACCAACTGAAATGTCATTTCCTTGTCTCCTCGTTTGGTTAGGTGTCCATGCACCTCAACATGTGCTGTTCTTTTCAGTCATGGCCATTTTTTTATAGTTGTTCCCTGAAGGGCCATTAAGACTATTTGAAGTGGGCAAGATGATACTAGGAAGGTGCTGGGTGAATTTGGCTTTCGACATTTTTAGGTTTTTGTTTTCTTGAAATAAACATCTGTAGCTTTCCTGTTTTCATCTCTTCTGCCTCTCACAGCTGATTCTCCAAGTCTCCCCCTTGCTGCTGAGCATACCACCCCCTCCCCCCAGCCTGGAAACCATCTGGGCAGAGCGCTGGGTGGGCATGGCTGGGGGAGCAGGGGAAGAGCCTTCCTTTCGGTTTCTGAATCTTTCCTTGGTGTATGTCTTCAGGGACCTGACCCTTCTAAAAACAACCTCGAGCTGTGTATTCAAACACACACGTGTGTGTTTTCACATTCCCGGCAGAGCTACTGCCTGGCTGCCGCCTTCCTCGAGCTGCGGTTGCAGGAGGCATGGCATTTTTTAAGCAGGATAAATTGCTGTCGAGTGGCTGCGCTGCTGCACCCGAGGCTATCAATCTTGTCTTGAATGCTGGGTCTGCTGGTCGGCCTGCTCAGGCTCATCTTTCTGGGGCAGGCTTACTTACAGAGCCACAGTAAAGGTAATCTCACTCCCCCAGCCAGCCCCGCAGCTTGGGCCTCTGTCCGCCACTCTTAAAAATAGCCTGAGACAAGGAGAGTGAGAGTCCAGTTACCTCCTGCACGCAGGATCTGATCTCACCTCCTCTGGCAGCTCACCTCAGCCTGTGGCCCAGAAGTAGGCAGTGGGCTTCGCCATCCCTCTCCCACTCAGAGCTCCAAGAAAGCAGGGGTTCCCTTTCCGGGAAGTGGGGAAAGGCACAGGGAGTGGCTTCCAGCTATCTTTACCCAGCCAGCTGGAGCAGTAGCACTTGAGGAAGATGAGAGACTGTCCGAAGCGACAGGGGTGTTCCTGAGTTAGGCCTGGCATCATGACACTCCTGTCAAGTCCTGGAAGGTGGAGAGCACGCTTGTCCCCAGGTGCCCTTGTGTGTCCCCTGTGTCCCTATAATCTGTAGGTTCAAAGGGATGCAGTTTGGCTTCTGATCTCAGCCAAGCAGTGATTCCTAGATGACCTTGGGGAGGCCTCATCCTCTGTTAGATCTTGGTTTTCTCTCTTGTGCACTTAGGGTGGATAATTCTGGCTCCTGTCTTACCTCAGAGGGATGTGGTAGGATTGATTAATCAGATTGGGGAAAGGAGTCTGAAGTGATTCTGTCTTGAAAATTTAGGGCTATAGCACTATAGTTATAATTGGATTGGTGAGTTTGCTTCATTTCAAGGGTGGGCCCGCCTCTGTGTGTGTGTGTGCGCGTGTGAGTGCGTTGTATGTGCTGGGGTGATTGAGTGTGTGTGTGAGTGCATGTGAATGTGTAATGTGTGTATATACTCTCACAGTGGCTGTGGTTTACCTCATGGCTCGATAGTCCATGTTGTCATTTGTCTGCCTCCCCACCCCCACCCTCCTTTGCTCTCTAGGAAACAAAGACTCTGAACTCCTTATTTTCTCCTACAGACTTGATCTTGGTGTTTCTTAAATTCCCTGGGAACATGACTGAGTGACAGGTACGGGTGAAGAAGTTAAGGCTGAAGGGAAACTAGTCACTTGCAAAGGCTCAAGACATTCAGGACCTAGCCCAGCCTCCTGCCTTTCTTCTTCCCTCCCCAGTGCTGCCGTCACCCTTCAGTTACATCCCAAGGCTCACAACGTTTGCTCATTTGGACTCATCCCTTTTCGTCTGTCCTGGCACAGGATGCTTCCTACAGGAATCGCCTTAAACGTCCCTCCGCTGGCCCCCAGCCCTGCGGGGCAGCCCTCACCTTCCTCTGTCCTCTCACACGTGTGGCCCACGTCATACCTTCTTGTCATTGCTTGTGCGTTTGTCTTGCTGCCAGAACACAGGCTCATGGGGACAGGGCCCTTCCTGGCTGACTTGTAGTTGCCTAGCATAGGACTTGCCACCTGGTTGGGGCTTGTTGCATATTCGAATCGATGATGGATGAATGAAGAAATGAATGAACAAAGAAACAAGCAAATCTGGGAATGGTGGGCTGCCTCGGGCCTGTTGCTGCTGCTGCCTGTGTGTGTTGCATAGGTGAAGACACACAGTCCACTCACTCTCTGGGGGTTCCTTCAACCCCCCCTGCCCCAGTGCTCATCCTGGGCTCCTTGGTCTACCCTGGGCTTCGCAGAGACATGTCTGAGTGCCAGGTTACACTTCAGAGAAGGCAAAACCAAGAGCTCAGCTTTCTGAATTTGCTGCTGGGAGGCAAACTTCCCCCAGCACAGCTGCCAGACTGGTGGCATCAGTGGCCTCTTGAAGCTCACATCTCTCTCTCCCCCAACGGATTCACCTTGGAGTCTGACTCAGCCGAATTCTAGCTTCCCCACTCCTCCCCTGTCCCTACCTTCTAGTCTAGGTTGGGCTCAGGCTACTGGGTGAGGCGGAGATTTCCTCCCATCTCTGGCTCCCTGGAGAACCACCCTGGGTGCTTGCCGAGCAGGAGCAGTGGGTTTGGAGGAAGCGCTTGCAGCGACTGACGTCTCCACCTGCTGGCCGTCCTGACCCTTGCTGCATGCAGCTCTGTCCCCGCCGCCACTGCTGCTGTTACTGTTGTTGCTGCTGCTGCAATATTTTATAACCAACAACCCAGAGACCCTGGGTAGGAAGTATGGCCCAGCAGATGGCTCCGTGTGCTGCTTCCATGAGGATCTATTTCTGCTGGATGCTCCGAATAAGTTTCCCCTGAGAAAAAGTCCGAGGGGGTGGGAGCTAACCCTCTGCCTGTGTTGCTGTCCCCCCCCAGGGACTTTTCCATGAAGACTGAGGCAGGCATCGTAGCTGCTGAGAGCCTGCTGACATGACATCGGCCACGGAGTTTGAAAACGTGGGCAACCAGCCACCGTACAGCCGGATCAATGCCCGCTGGGATGCCCCGGACGATGAGCTCGATAATGACAACAGCTCAGCCAGGCTCTTTGAGAGGTCCCGGATCAAGGCTTTGGCAGGTACTGTTCGGGGCCATAGGGGTTAGGGTAGCCGTCCTCATATCCTCCCCACCCTGACTGTAGTGAATCTTCTGTGTGTTGGTGTGAACCTACCAGGGTGGTGATGACGATGCGGTTGCGTGACTCCAGAGAGGCCGGGCCTCTTGGGAGGAGCAGAGGATCAGAAAGCCTCTGTACCCTCCAAACCCCCCAGTTCCTCCCAGGCAGGTGACAGTGCCAAGTGAGCTCTGTCCTCTGCCTCTGTCCTGGATGACCTGTGGCCAAAGTCAGAAGTAAAAGAAAGTCTGAGTGAAGGAGTGGCTGAGGGGCTGGCCAGCTGGGAGAGGTACGTGAGACCTCAGTGTCCTGGATAGAGGAATTATCACTCTCTCTGTGGTCCAAAAAGGAAAGAATGATTTGATAGGAAATTCAGAACAGATAACATCCTTCCCAAACTGGCTCAGAAAGGAGTGTTTTCTGGATCAAATCTCTCATCCTTACACTGACTAGAATTAGATTTTCACTTAGCAGGTTCATAATGTGTGTGTGTGTGTGTGTGTGTGTGTGTATGTGTAAGAGAGAGGGAGAGAGAGAGAGGCTGACTTGAGAGGGTGGAGGGGAGGGGGTATGGAATCTCTAGTAAAAATGCTTCCCCTTCTCTTACCGGCTGAGATCTGATTCAGAGATTTCTTCTTCACCACTACCCCTGTGACTACTGCCTCCCTGGAGCCTAACCCAGGGTCTCAATATTCTGACCCTAAATCCTTAGCCAAGAAAGTGTGAGCTTGCATGGGGTGGGGTATGGGTGGTTTCCTTCACCTGTTGTACCCTTCATGACCCAAATCAGACTTGTTTCCCGCATAGTTGACTGTTCTCATCTTGCAGGGCGCAATCCTCCTCTTTCTGGGGTGATTTCCCTCACCTCCATGATAGCGACTGTGTAAAGTTCACTGTAGTAATCCTCTACTTTCCCTCCCTCCACTCTGCTCCCAGATACAAGGTCTGGCTGACCTTGAGTCATGAGCTGGACCCTGGGCTCCTCTGGACCATAATGACCTTTCACCTCAAGGGTATCTGGGCATCCTGTCTCCACAGAAGGAATGGGGTATCTTATCCCCTTGTCACAATTGGTAGTCCATTGAGATCTCAGCCATCACCATTCTGTTTTTATTCATTATAGGATGCTCCTTTCTTTTTCCTTTATCTTCTTACCACTCCTAGCCCCACAAAATACTTCCTTTGCTTTCTGTGGGGACAGATAATAGGATCAAGCCGTTGCTTTTACTTATGTAATTCTAACTTCTAAATAACCATGCTTGGAACCCTTGCCTTTGTCTAGTTTTACCCTCCTTATACATACTCTGGCTGACTCTCTGGCTGCAGCATACCTAGTGATACAGGTGGAAGGAGAAAGGTGCCACAAGCTTTGCCAAAGGACAGTATGAGGAGTGGGGCTGCCTTTATCAGGGGTCTTTTGATCTGTTTCTCAGATATTCTTTTTTTTTTTTTAAGAAACCAAGGAAAATTCCATTTTAACAGTTATCTGTTGCACTTCCTAACTGTGCACAGATAGCCCCCTGACCAGATGTGAATCTGAAGGAGGAAACCACAGAGATGGACTCAATGTAATATCTCTCTCTTAAGGCATTTGTGATCTTTTAGGGGAAATGATGATATTCATAATTAATTAGCGTGAGTAAAATTAGAGAAGTATAGAAAATGCATATCATCAAATATTAATGCGAGGCAAAGGAGGAGATGGAGGGGGAATTGAGACTAGTTTGTGGGGAAGGCCAGTTTGAGTTTGGGGTGGGAACTGAAGGCCGCATGACTAGCCTGTTCGTATGGAGCCACGTGTGACGCACAGCCTGAAAACTGGCAGAAGTGGACTGACCAGGAAATGGTTGTTCAGCACCTCCACTGACTGTGGCTGTGCCCAGGAAGTCCATTCCTCACCCGCCCCCTGCCCCAGGGAACAAGAAAGCACCAAATGTAGAATCACATTCTTGGATCTTCGTGATGGAGGGCATCTGACTAACGAGTAAACATGGAAGTTTGGGTTCATTAAGGTTTTTAAAAGCCAGTCATAAACCTAGTGGTTTACTAACTTTCTGGAGGGTCCACACTGAGTGATCTGAAAGAGAAGCTAAAGCTTTGCAACGATGCTTAGTAGTGTGGCTGGATGGAAAGGGAGCGGGAGCATCAGTTTTAACTTCTTGATCATTTTTCTCTTCAGTACTGTCTTGGCTAGCCTGGCAGTTTAGGCAGGGAGGGAGCAGCTTTTCCAGAGAGACTCGGGAGCAGAAGCTGTCTTTGATCACCAGTGTGCTAGCATGCTCCACAGTGGCCTCCTCATCCCTAAGGGTATTCTGGTAAAGAAGGTTATTTCTTGTATGATGGTGGTAAATTGCTGGATAGGTACATGTGGCAAAGTTAGAGAGATTGGAATTTTCTGAAATTGACAGTCTTGGATTGAAAGAGGAAACTACTCCAACACCCAGGTTCAAGTTTTGGCTCCATCACGAATGCTACCGCTGTGGAGGATGGCTCAATGAATCCCCTGTTTTGTAAAACGGGGGCAGTAGTACTTGCCCAAGATTGTTGGGAAGATCACATAAACAACAGTTTATGAAAGTTTTTAAATATATGACTAACTTCTAGGTGAATGCTAGCACTTAGCGGACAGTGATGCGGGTCTCCCCTGCTATGCGAGAGCAGAGTGTCTATATGAAACCTGCTGCTAGCAAAAGTGGCACAGAATGAAGGAATAGTTACCACTGATTTAATTTAGATGGAATTTTGCCAGACCCCCGGAATGACCTACCAAATCATACCAAGTAACTCATAAAACCCAAAATAGCACCAGCCTATGGTAAAACAGTGTAACACACAGCTCCCGAGAAGGGGCGTAGTGGTGTCCCTCGCCGGGCCGGGCACGTGCTGCCACTGGCATGGCTGCTGTTGTCACCTTTTGTTGTAAAAACGAAAATCCCCTTTGACTGACGAAGACAGGTACCAATGTGGGTCTTTCACAAAACTGGAGTTGTGTAATGGGAACTTTCAAAAAGCGGGGATGCCTGTAAGAGGAGATATCTTTCTGTCCTTTTCTCTCGATTTCACTCGAGCATTAGTTCAGTCACTGATCTGTTACCTTGGCCTGTTCTAAGGCCTCTCTCTTCCTTCTTAACCTCGCTCCTTTGCCTTAGAAGACCTGGGTTGGAAGAAAGGCTCAGGGCCCAGGGGACCTAGAGATAAAGCCTATACTTGGAGTGACAGGCTCCATCCCCAAAGAACTAAGTGCCTGTGGAGTTAAACCCCATGCTGGGCTGGGCTTCCCCATAAGGCATCCAGCTAGATCCCAGCTGCTCCTCTGCTATCCAGGTGGGTGATCTGGGAGGCCCAAGAAATGAAGGGAGGGGCCCTACCTGGTGTTGCAGCCTGTTAAAGTGCAGCACCATGAGGCTTGTCACAGCCACTGCAGTGAGAGTTCCATTCCTGGCCAAGGAGGTGACCCACATGGCGCAGCAGACCTCTCCTGACCTGCCCACTGCTCCCCTCAGCAGTGTACTTCAGTCAGTCTGCCTGTTCTGCTCCCCACTCTGCCTCTGGTGAAGCCTCTCACCCCCAGCCCTCTAACCAACTCTTATGTGCATACATAAATAAATCTTTAAAAAAAAAAAACAACTAAAGGAGAATGAGGCTTTATTAGATGCTCTCCCTGGCACGGTCCATGCCTGCTCAGTGACCCATGGTTATAAGACATGTGTTTGATTAACTGGACTCCATCTTTCCTCAGTTCTGATGCCTTTAGGACCTTCCTGCTCTGTGAACCTGCTTTGAAGCAGTAGAGGAATGGGGGTGGGAGGTGGCTGAGAAGTCCAAGTTCCTTTTCCTCTAAGAGGGCCCAGCCCCCGTGTTTTAGTAGGAAGGCTCCCAGTGTCCTAGAGCCACCCTCACTGTCACACTTCCTGTCCTTCCCATTTTCATACTGGGAGCCATTCCACCTCTCTTTGGCTCTGGGGAAGGGGAGCACCGCAGGCTGCAGGGACTTTGCCAGCCAGACTGCCCACCTCTGTGCTCTCCATCCTCATGCACCCCCACCTGCCACTGGCTATGTACCCCAGTGACTTGTGAGGGTGCTGCCTTCAGGCAGTCGCCCTGTAGGAGGAGGAAGCTGAGGAATGTGACAAATAGATCCCCCAAAAGAGATGCTCTGTGCCTTAGCCTGCCCCTTTTACTCCCCCTGCCTCATATATGCACACTGCTTGGCATCCCATGTGCCACCCACTGCATGATTCCTAGCTCCCTTGTGGTGCACAGAGGCATCTAGAAGGTTGCTGTGCAGAGAGCAGTCCAGAGTGCTGAGAAGCCTATGAGAAGGCAAGGACCCTCCATCCACTTAGTCTGTGTACTGAGGAATACGCTGCAGACTGCCCAGGCTTGCTCTTTCAGAACAACATACACACCATTGTGTAGCCCACTCTGGTTTGGCTTTTAAATCTGATTCCAAGTGAAGTTCCAAACAAAAGATGAGCTTCCTTCCTGCATTACGTGTCTGTAGCCCTCTTACTGTAAACGAGATGAGGCCAAGGCCTGAGGTTGGCTGAGGACAATCCAGGGGAGGGGCCGAGCAGCAGGTGCTCTGTAGGCTGCGTCTTTGTGCTCTTTGTGCGCTGAAGCACAGTTGCTGCTCCTGAGCCCTGAACAGCTTCCAGGCCCACTGCGCCTGGGCCCAAGGTTAAGTTCTGTGACCCACAGATACTCCAACTGAGCCTGCACCCGCCGGCCTCTGCCCACGGCTAGGCTCTCAGGGTCTCCTCCTGACTTTGGCAACAGGGCATTCGTGGCCTCGCCCTTGGCCCTTTCCCCACCTGCACCAAGGTGACCCTGCCCCCAGGTGTCCCAGTCACTGAGGATGGCTTTATGTCTGTAAGGTAATGACTTCTCTCAGGAAGGCAAGATTTCGCCACAGTGGGTGGAGCCCGGCACTTCCTGGCAGCCTATAAAGTTGACAGTCAGTT